TCATCTTCCTCATGGTCCTCCTCATCCTCCTCCCTTCCCTCTCACGCCTCCTGCACGCTCCCCTTCTCATGATCCTCCTCCTCCTCCTCCTCCTCCTCCTCCTCCTCCTCCTCGTCCCCCTCCTCATTCTCCTCCGTTCCCTCTCACGCCTCCTGCACGCTCCCCTTCTCATGATCCTCCTCCTCATCCTCCTCCGTTCCCTCTCACGCCTCCTGTACGCTCCCCTTCTCATACGCTCCCCTTCTCATGATCCTCCTCCTCCTCCTTCTTCTCCTCCTCCTGCAACCCCTTCCTCGCCTGGGAGCCGCCGGTGACGACCACGTGCTTGCCCGCCACGTCCATCCGCGGCCTCCTCAGCCAGACGTCCGGGCGACCCCAGGCCCAGCGCAGCTACGGCGGGCCCCGCGGTCGGGCAGCGGCGGACGGACCCGCCAGGCCGCAGCCGCAGGGCCCGCCGCCACGGCCGCCCACGGAACGACGAGTGGCGATCCAGAGCGTGCACCTTTGTGCCAGGACCTCGGGCGCCCAGGTCAGGGTCTCAGAACAAAACAAAAACTCTGGATTTCCACTGGAATCCCGATCCGCCCGCCCGCTGCCAGCCGCCCGCCCGCCCGCCCGCCCGCGCGCCCCCCGTCGCTCGTTCGCCGTGCTTCCGCGCTCAACACGATTCCCAATACTCCACAGCGTCCGTATCCAACGCAACACCCAGTATTCAACAGCAGCATCCGTCTCCAACAATTCACTGCTCAATGGCATGGGCTGCAAGACACGATTTTTGGGAGGTATTCTAAAATCCCGCTCCGCCCGCTCGCCGACGTCCCGCCGTCTCCAACACAACACCCAGTACTCGGCAGCATCCCGCTGCAAGAGAGAATCCTCAAAGGGGCAAATTCAAATGCCGATCCGCCCGCCCACCGCCCGCCGCCCTCCCCACGCCGCCCGCCCGCCGTGTTTCCGCGTTCAACACAACACCCGGTTCTCAACAGCATCCGTCTCCAACACAACACCCAATACTCAACAACCTCCGCTTCCAAAAGAAAAACCACTACTCAACAGCATCCCGAAGCAAGAGAAGCATCATTACGAGTTCTGTTAACATCCCGAGCCGACCGCCCGCCGCAAACCCGCCGCCCGCCAGCCGTGCTTACGCGTTCAACACCACACCCAGTACTCAACAGCGTCCGTCCCCAATACAACACCCAGCATTGAGCAGCATCCCGCTGCAACAAAAAAACTGTTAGGGGCTGCCCGCCGCCAGCGCGTCCGCCGCCCGCCCACCGGCCGCCCCCCGCCGCCCATTCGCCGTGCGTCCGCGTTCAACACAACACGCAGTACTCAATAGCATCCGTCCCCAACACAACAAGCGGCACTCCACAGCCTCCGTCCCCAACACAAAATCCAGTATTCAATAGCATCCCGCTGCAAGAACCTCAAGAGTTTTAAGATCCCGATCCGACCGCCCGCTGCCCGCCCGCCGCCCGTCCGCCGCCCCCCACCGCCGCCCGTTCGCTGCGCCTCCGCGCTCAACACAACATCCAGTACTCAACAGCATCCGTCTCCAATACCACACCCAATACTCAAGTGTCTCTTCCTCCAACACAACACTCACTCAGTGCTAAATATCATATGCTGCAAAACAAATCTTGAGGAGGCCCTCTACAATCCCGATCCGCCCGCTCGCCGCTGGCCCGCCGTCCGCCGCCCGCCCGCCGTGCTCTTGTGTTCAAGACAACATCCAGTACTCAACCACATCCGTCTCCAACACAACACCCAATACTCAACATACTCCGTCTCCGACACAACACCCAATACTCAACAGCATCCCAAAATCAGTAGGAAATCATTAAAAGGTCGATCCGCCCGCCCACCGCCCGCCGCCAGCCCGCCCGCCGCCTTCCCGCCGCCCGCCCCCAGCCGCCCGCCCGCCGTACTTCCGCGTTCAACACAACACTCAGTACTCAACAACATCAGTCTCCAACACAATACCCAATGCTCAACAGCTTCCGTCTCCAACACAACAAGTATTCAACAGTACGTTGCTGCAAGAAACCAAGCTACGAGTTCGATTCAAATCTTGGTCCGCACGCCCGCCGCTGGCCCGCCACCAACCGCCCGCCAGCCGTGTTTCCGCTTTCTACACAACACCCACTACTCAACAGCATCCGCCTCCAACACAACACCCAATACTCAACAGCCTCCGTCTCCAACACAAAATCGAGTACTCGACAGCACCCCGCTGCAAGAGACAATCCTTAGGAAGTCGATTGAAATGCCGATCCGCCCGCCCACCGCCCGCCGCCCGCCCGCCCGCCGCATTCCCGCCGCCCGCCCGCCGTGTTTCCGTGTCCAACGCAACACCCAATACTCAACAGCATCCGTCTCCAACACAACACATCCAGTACTCAACAGCATCCCGCTGCAAGAGAGAAACCTTAGGAGGTCAATTGAAACGCCGATCCGCCCGCCCGCCGTCAACCGACCACTCGCCGTGCGTCCGCGTTCAACACAACACTCAGTACTCAACAGCGCTCGTCTCCAACACAAAAAGCAGTACTCAACAGCCTCCGCCTCTTTTTCGTCGCGGCCGCAGGCGAGCGCGCCAGCAGCGTCAGAGGTCGGGCGGGCTGCGCGCGAGCCGAATTGCCTAGCGCACGGGGGCCGACGGCCGAACCTAAGGTGCCTAAGCTGCCTAAGCCTCCGTCTCAGACAGAGCCCCCAGTACTCAGCACCCTCCCGCTGCAGGAGAGCACCCCCGCGGGTTCTACTCTGCTCCCGATCCGCAAGGCTCGCCGACGGCCCGCCGCCCGCCGCCCGTCTGCCCGGCCCCCGTGTTCAACACAACGCCCGGTACTCGACAGCCTCCGTCTCCAACACAGCACCCAGTACTCAACCTCCTCCTCCTCCACTTCCTCCTCCTCCTCTTCCTCCTCCTCCTCCTCCTCCTCCTCCTCCTCCTCCTCCTCCTCCTCCTCCTCCTCCCCCTCCTCCTCTTGCTCCTCCTCAGCAGCCTCCGTCTCCACCACAAAATCGAGTACTCGACAGCGTCCCGCTGCAATTAAACTGTCGAATGCTCAACAGAATCCTTGGGACGTCTCTTAAAATCGCGATCCGCCCGCCGGCCGCCCGCCGCCGGCCCGCCCGCCGCCCGCCCGCCTCCCGCCCCCGCCGCCCGCCCGCCGTGCTTCCGTGTTCAACACAACACGCAATACTCAACAGCGTTCGTCTCGAAATCAGAACTACTGTCTTGAAGCGCGGGGCCCTGGAACCCGCCCAAAAAAAGCAAGAAAACCTCCGAGTTGGATGATTTTCTCCTAGGTGTTCCCCCCCTGGAGCCTGGGCTGGCCGGAGGAACCCCGAAAAAAAAACGAAAAGCCCCTGAGTTGGGTCTGGGTTTCGGTGTGTGTTTCGGTTTTTCTGGAAGGGGGAATCAAACATACCATCGTTTTCAATTGTGGCGGGCCCGAGCCCCCCGAAACAAACCCGAGCAACTTCCCGAGTTGAGGAGTTTTTCTAAGGCTTTCCCCCTGAAGCTTGGGCTGGCCAGAGAACCCCCGACCCCCCCCCCGGAAAACCCCAGAGTTGGGAGGGGTCGGATTTTGTATCGGGGGGAGGGCGTGGGGGAGTCATTAATTGTGGGGGCCCGAGACCCCCGAAAAGAACCCGAGCTGTGGCTGTTGCTGTAGTTTGTCTTGTGCGTTCGTTGGTGCCCCCGTTTAGTCAGCTTCTTCCGCCAGCGCAGACGACCCCTGCCCAGCCGCCGACGCAAAAAAGTCGTTTGAAATGTTTTCAGATATAGTCTTGTGTTTCAATGTGGGGCCATGGAACCCCTTGAAAAACTCGTGACAAAAAAAAATTAAACAAAAAAAAACAACAACAAAAAAACGGGTTGGGGGGATTCTCGGTCGCTGTCGACCCGTCCCCCCTGGAGCCGACCCCGCGCCGACGCTGCCCCTGCCTGTGACGCCCTGGGGGCCGCCGGCCCTCTCGCTGGACCGGGCCCGCCCGGGATGGCGCAGGAGAACAAAGCCCGGCGCAGGCGGCCCGTGCGCGCGCGGGCGCGGGCTCTCGACGTCGGCGCTGCGCGGAGGGTTGGCGGGAGCTGGGCCCCCCCTGCGGGGCCCCGGCGGCCGAGGCCTCGGCGCGCTCCGCCGAAGCGCCGGCCGCGGCCGGAGGCCGCGGGAGGGTCTGAGCCGGAGAGGCCCCGAGAAGGTGTGTCGAGAGGGGGGAGGGCGAGGGCAAGTCCGCTCGACGTCGGGCCCCAGACCGCTCATCGGGTCAGTCCCGCCCCGTTTTGTCGAGCCGCGTCCAGCTGTGGCGACGAGGGGGGGGCCCTTGCTCCTGCTCTCTGCTGGCCAGAACCATTGCTGGGCCATCTCAGCCCCCTGGCTGGCTCCAAGACAACGGCATCTCCAGTCCAGTCAGGTTCAGGTCTTGGCAGGCCTTCTCAGAAAGCGGCGCGGCTTCTCGGGAGCCCTCTGGCCTTCTGAGGAGCTGCCTCTGTCTTCGGAGAAGGCTCAGCTCGAGGATCTACTGACCTGGGTCAATCCAATCCCAGGTCAGTCAGGGTTTGCAAGATCCTGCAGGAGCCTGCAGGATCCTGCGCGCCAGCCAGGAGCGATGCAGCCCTGGCGTTGCAGGATCCTGCAAGATCTGGCGTTTTCGCTGACCATCGTTTGCATTGACCCCCGTCTCGAGGCGCCCGCCTCAGAACACTTCTCAGAAGGCCAGGAGCGGAGCCTTCCGAGCCCTCTGGGAAGGCCCGCCCCCTCTCACTTGCCCACTGGGCTCGCCGCCGAGAGAAGGCCGCGCGGACCTCCTGGCGTGCACGGAGGCCGCCCAGGTGAGAAGATCATGGCTGCTGGTTTGGGACCGCTTTTGGCCTCTGGGGGCCCTCCCAGGGCATCAGGACCGCCCAAAAACCGCCCAGGAGGAGAAGCTGGTCCTGGGCAGGAGCCGAGATTTCTGGTGGGGTCGACGTCGTGAAAAATCGCGACGACGGGGGTCTCGGAAGATCGCACCGCATCGAGGTTACATTGGCGGTGCAGCGGTGATGCATCGGGATGGAGGAAGTCGGGCTCCGAATCACGCCGCACGGCCGATGCACTGGCGATGGGGTGTGAACCTCAGACCCCCTCTGTTCTTGGGGGGCCATAGAAGTATCGATACCGGTACCCCCCGGACCTCTCCGAGGGTGCTCTCTGACCAGACCTTCGAGGAGAACCCAGCCGTGGCGACAAGGGCTTTCCAGGATGAGCAGCGCCATCGGCAACTTTTCCTCCTCTGAGCTCTGGCCCCCGTTTGGGAGGCCTGGGGTTCGTGCCTGCGCCGTGCTTCCTCCTCCGAATGGACACGAGGTGGCCGGCGCACAACAGCGCCTGAGGGGTAACGCTAGGGGACCGAACCAGGGGGAGAACATCAACCTGGAGTAGGCGATAGATCGCCGATAGATCGGAGATACGCTTCCGAAAGCGACTCCGCACGGTCCTGCGCGGTGTGGGGCTATCGGGCCCACTATCGGCGATCGGTGATCGGGGGTCGATGCACCCCCCCCTCAGCCCATCCTCCCTTCACGTCATCCCTGAGCGCCGCCGCGGCCAGAATCGACAGCGCGTCCATCGGGGCGGCCCTCGGCGCTCAAAGGCGCCCGACCGCCCGCCCGCGGGAAGCGCCCGCGGCTGGCGGGAGCTCGGGACTCGAGGCAGAGGCCCCTCGAACCTGGGCGCGGGCGGCTCGAGCCAGGGGTTCTGGTCCTCGTCCTCCTCCTCCTCCTCCTCCTTCTCCTCCTCCTCCTCCTCCTCCTCCTCCTCCTCCTCCTCCATTTCCTCTTCATCCTCCTACTTTTTGACGTTGACCGGACTTGAATCCCAAGCAAGTAGCGTCTAGCCTCGTACTCATCCCCCTCCTCCGCCTCCTCCTCTTCCGCAGTCTCCTCCTCCTCCTCCTCCTCCTCCTCCTGCTCCCCCTCCTCCGCCTCCTCATCATCCATTCCTTGTCTCTATAGATAACTCTTCCCTGTCGCACCCCGGTGCCAATCGGAAGGGCGGGCCAGGCGTTCCACCTGAGTTTTCCTTACCATTTATGATCCTGCAGCCGAAAATTGGCAACGGCTTCACAGGGGAAGGGCGTGTCGCTTCCAAAATGTGGCTCTCGCCGTAGCGCCGCCCACATTCGTATCAAAATCTGCAAGAGCATTACGGATGGAAGGCGGTTCCTTTCCAAAATGTGTCTCTCGCCTCAGAGCCGCGCAGCCGCACACACTGGTCTCAAACATTTGCCAACCTTTCACGGATTCCCACGGCTAACATACCAGAAACGATGTTGAGAGCGATTCAAGGTTGTCAGGGCGCAACAGTTACGTTGATTCGCTGTGTCGAAGTCAAAAAAAGCGGCTTTCTGGCACGATGCACGACTGTCAAAACGCAGCAGTATTGTTGAGTTGTGGCGCGGTAGTCCCGAGAATATTGTTTTAGTACGCTTCCGGATCTTCAAACGGTTGTCCCCGAACGAGGCACTGCCCTTACGAAGATGAACCCTTGTAAGGGCCTATGAAATGGAGCTTGGGAGTGGGGCTAATGCCAACGTCGTTGATGAATCGTGGGTTTACGCTGGTCCTCCTCCTCATCCTTCTTCTCTGCCTCCTCCACCTCCTCATCCTCCTCCTCCTCCTCCTCCTCCTCCTCCTCGTCATCATCATCATCCTCATCCTCGGTCTCTTTCCTTCCTCCCTTCCGCAGCCGCAGGAGCGCTGCCCGCTACCCCACAAGCCACGACGCGGTGCCCGCGCCCAGGAGCGCGCATCCCACTACCCCGCGGAGCCCGCGCGCACGCTGGCGCCCAGACGCTTTCAAGAGGAAGAGGAGGACGAGGACGATGAGGAGAAAGGGGAGAAGAAAAGGTTTGCTCTCGAAAGGAGCGCACCAACAAGGCCGGTAGCCGGATCCTCGCCACTGGAAGACCGGATGCTAGGCCCCGATTGGTGTGTGTTCGTTTGTGTGGTGTTGCCTCAGGCCGCCCTTCGATCAGATGGTGTTCGTTGTCCGTCCTGGCTTCTGAATAGATGGTCTTGTCTCTTGAGGCCCACCTCCACACAACGCGTGTTTGCGCGATGCCGTTGATGAACACCCAGGTAAAGAACACCGGGTCCCCGACCACAAGGTCGTTCTTCTCGCTCTTGCCGACTTAGGCATCGCAGTCAAGCTCCCGCTGTACCCATGCGCCCCCTAAGAAGCCGCAGCCGTAGCGGCGGTTGACGCACTTGAACGCGCCCGTGCCAGATCTCCTCATCCGGCTGCAGTTCTCCCTCAGGTTGCAGCCATCCTCGAAGCTCTCGCCCTCCTGCGGGAGAAAACGGCAGTTCTTGGCGCTTGCGCTTGCGCTGCTGGTGGCCCCAGCTTGTGTCAGTAGCCCGATGCGCCCTGGCGGCCATCGTGGCCACGCTCGTCCTGCAAGCTCTGCGGGTGGCTCCTGCAGCCCTGCCGGTGGCCCCGGGGTAGCGTCGCCCCCCGGCCCCGGCAGCTCTGCTTTGGGGCTCGCGCAGCTCCGCTGGTCGTCGAAGCTCTGCTCCTGGTCCTCGAGGCTGGGCTGGTCGCTCTCGTGGCTCCCCCTGGTGGCCCTGTTAGCTCTGCCGGGGGCCAGGGGCCTATGAAGAAAGAACTTACCCCTCATCTCCCTCGTCATCTACTATTCCTCACCCTCCCCTGTCTCATACCCTTCCCTCTACGGATGCTGCCCCTTCTTCTCCTTTTACTGCTCCTCCTCATCATTGCTATCCTCGCAATAGATCCCGCCAGTGCAACTCCTCGCCCTCCTTGGTAGTCCTCCTTATTTCCCCTCCCTCGCCCTCAACAGATTCACCCTCCTCCTCTTCTCCTGCTCGTTTCGTCCTCCTCATCATCATCCTCCTACACTTTTACCCTGCGGCCTAGGTTCAGTCTTTCTTCTCCAGCGGCGACGTTGGGGGCTTGGCCGAATTCTTGGGCTTGAACGAGTAGATGGCGGCGCTCAGCGTGGACAGTCCTTGGCGATTCGGATATCCTCCTCATCCTCCACCTCACCATCCTGACCACCATCACCATCTTCATCATTAGTTTCATCATCCTCGTCGCCAGAATCAAAACGATCATGATTCTAGATCCCGCCCCCGTGGCTGGTGCCGGCTGCGCAACTGTCACAACCTTCGCAAGCTTGCAGGAGATCCAACGGAGCGCTGTCCTAAACCGACCCAGAGGAGACCTCCCCTCCATGGGTGGCGCCAGCTGCGCATCGGTCGCAACCTTCGTAAGCTTGTGGAAGGTCCAATGGAGCGCTGTCCTAAACGGACACAGACGAGGCTCCCCTCCATGGGTGGTGCCAGCTGCGCAACTACCGCAACCTTTCATGCGCTCCTGGGAGGTCCAGGGAAAAGCGGTCTCACCCGAACGCACTAGAAACCTCGCGTCCATGCCCAAATCCAAACGAGACCAACTCTGAAGTGGCGCTATTTGCGTGAGCTCCTGGGAGGTCCAAGGGCGAAGTCAGCGGAGTGCGATCCTAACCCGGAGACCCAATTCAAAATCCCCCCATTATCTCAAGCGCCCAAGATAAGTAATTAATTCCGGAAGGAGGAGAGCCGCCGAGCGATATCGCTAGCACCCAACAAAATGCATTAATTATATAAGTTCGCATGGGGGGCGGCGGTGGGAGTAAGATTAGAAAGACAGCCCAAGAGAGGCCTCAAGACGGCCGCTTCGGAGGCAAGAGCCCCCGCCGACAGTCTGAATCCCTGAGACAGCCCTGAACAAATCTTCAAATACGATAGAACGCCGTCAAAACATGCGTGCAAAGCATCGCCAGGCAATGCAGAGCAACGCCTTGCAACACGATACAATGAAAAGCAACGCCCAGCAGAGCTAAGCAACGCAGGGCAATGTGAATCATGGCATTGCAATGCCAATGACTCCAATGCAATACCAAGCCAGGCCAGAGAATGCTGAGAATTGCGGGGCGGGGCTCCGAATTCTGCCGCAGGCTTTCCCAGGGCGTTTGCCTGCTAACCTGTCCCCTTGCGACTCCTGCGTACCACCCCTGCCAAGACATGCACATTTCTCTGCCACCCTGAGGCGTAGTCCAGGACAGGGAATGTCGCCCCCTTCCCACCCGCACCGCCAGCGATATTTCGCACCCGTGTTTCAACATGTTCCCCCCACCCCCGCCCCTTCTGCTAACATGAGACAAATGGAGAAGTAAGGGTCGGAGCCACAGTGGTAGGAGTTAGCCTGTAGATCAACTTGTCGCGAGCTAGCTTGTAACACTCTCCTGCTCTCCCACACATGCTGAGTCGAAAACCTGCGTAAGCAAGGCGAAGCCCGACGAGAGGACGTAGTTCGTGACTCGCCTGAAGGAAACACCTTGACACGTTGGAACTGGGGGGGACCCCAAAAAGCATTGAGCGTCCCTGGAGAACTGGGGGGTGGCGCTGGACACTGGCCTCCTTAACTGCGGGTCGCCGTGCCGCTGTCCCCTGCACATAGGCAAGACTAGAGAAGGAAGGAAAGAACGAGGAGGGAAGGAGGGGGGAGAACCGAGAATACGGGTCGCAGCAGGGATTAAAGAAGAGGGGCGGCGGAGGAAGAAACAGTTGGAGGGGAACAAGGAGGGCGGGATGGGGGAGCAGGGAGGCAAGAGAAAGGAGGTGGCAGGACAAAGAGGTACGATCGAGACAAAGGATGGACGGAGGAACTAAGAGGCCTCATGTGGCTCTCGTGGACTCGCGGGGCCGTATTTGACGAACATGTTGGAACACAATTCCTTGGGTCTTTGTCTGGTTTGGGCCAGCTGAGAGCCCTGTGATGACTCTCAAGTGGCTCGTTGGATGGCACCTTGGAAGCCGCTGGGCCCTCTTGGGCTCCTTGAGCAAGTAGGGAGGCAGATTGAGATATCTCCGAACATGTTTGGGCCATCTAGGGGCCTAGTGGGCTCGAAACTGGATCCGCTGGACGGTCTCTGGGGCCCTGGGGGCATTCAAAGCAAAGTTGAGGACCCTCGGAGCGCCTCTTGAAACGGTCGCCGCCTGTCCGAAACCCCTGAAGAAGACTTTCGGCCGACAAATTGACAACCCCAAAGATGAAACCAGCCAATCCGTAGGTGCTTGACAGAATTTGGTCGGCTGGGAGTCCTCCTGAGGCTGTTCTGCGGACACGGCGCCTCAAGACACAGCTCCCCCGAGCTCCCCCCCTTGATCGCGTCCCGCGGCCGCTGGGGCGTCAAGAACACCACGGCTTCAACCCTGAGCGCCCCCGAGGCACCTCCACAGTACCGCGCCTCAGGGCCGCGGGGGCGCCTCGGAACACCAAGGCTTCAACCTGTGATGCCCCCCCGGCACCCTCCTGGGACCGCGACTCACACCACCAGGGGGGCGCCCCGGGACTCCACGGCCGCAACCTCCGAGGCCCCCCGAACACTCCCCCCTTGACCGCGTCTCGCGGCCGGGGGGCGCTTCGGGACACCAAGACTTCAACCTCGGACGCCTCCTCGGGCGCCTCCCCCCTTGACCGCGCCTCGCGGCCGGGGGGGCCGCGGGGGGCGCAACAGGACAGCACGGCTTCAAACTCAGACGCCCCCGAGAACCCCACCCCTTGACCGCGTCTCGCGGTCGGGGGGCGCCTCGGGACACCACGGCTTCAACCATGGACGCCCCCCTTTGACCCGCGTCTCGAGGCTGGGAGAGCGCCTGGGGCTCGGACGGAACGGTAGAGACACGTGAAGCATCACGACATGCAGGAAGCGTCGTGCACACAACAATGCGGACGTGAGGCGGAGAGGCTAGGGACAAGAAGGAAGAGGAGAGAAGAGGAAAGGAGCGAAGACGCGAAGCAAAACAAATCCGCTACCCCCCTGGGGGCCAACAGGCTGCGAGAACTGAGCTGTCCAGTTCCCTGCACCAGCTCCAATTCCCAAGCTATTGGTATTGATAGCAGCTTCTCTCTAACTCCAGTGTTGTAGTTCATGATTGAGAAACGCGCGAGAGGGGGAGCGCGAAAACCGCCCGGCTTCCCTCCCAAAATCACGTAGTATGAATCCCTGGGGCTGCCCTGGTATACCTCCAGATGGAGCAGACTCGAGCTCCCGAGAGCACACTCCCTCGAAATGTACAATCGGCTCGCGCTCCCGAGGCCATAATCCCCTGCGAGTGATGCAAGATTCGCGCCCCCGAAGCCAGAACCCCTCGTACAGTACAACGGCGTCGCCCTCCCGAAGCCGCAGCCAGTCCCTCGTAAAGTACACCGGCACCTCGCTCCCGAGGCCACCACCCCTGGCAGAACTACCCCAGGTGGGCCCTCCCCGAGCCACACTCGCCCCTCACGCCGGATCCGCGCTCCCGAAAATTACAACCTCTCGTAAGCCACGAGAAGGCTGCGCGCCCGAAGCACCAGCCCTCTGCAAAGTGTTGCGCGCTGACGCCACCCGAGCACACGACACCAAGTCGCTCTCCCACAGACCACGAGCCCCATTCAATTACCTCAGGTTCGCGCTCCCGAGGCCACAATTCCTCGTAAATTACAGAAAGTGTGCGCCCCCGAAGCCACAATGCCTCGCAAATTACTAACTTGGTGTTCCCGAGGCCACGAATCCTTTTCAAAGTACGTAAGTCCCGCGCTCCCGAAATCACGAGCCCGTTGCACATTACTGCAAGTTCGCACTCCCAAGACCACGAAGCCAGCCCACGGAGGCTGCCAAAAAGCGCCACCCCCTCCAGAGAAGAAAGACTGACATTTTGTGTAGTGGGAAATGCGTTCGGGAGGCGATTTCCGACCCCCCGTCATTTCCTGAGAATTCGACTCGGGGCGCGATGCCACGAACCCCTTTAAATAGCAAGGGGTGCGCGCTTCCAAAGCCTCGAACCCTTGTCCCGAGGTCACCGTCCTCCTTAATCATTAAAGACTCGCGCAACCAGCCAGCACCAAATCAGTGGCCAGTATCAATTTAGACAACCAGCCAATCAGCCGAGTTGCCAGCAAGCCAACCGACGAGAAAACCAACCAGCCTACCAACCAAGAGTGGTCTTGCAGGCAATCTGAGGTGGCGGCGGCGGCAGAGAACGAAGCCCTTCGGATAACCACAGTAGAATGGAATGCGCTGCAGTGGTTAGCAATACGTACGCGGAGCGCGCCCATCAAATACAGAGGCCATACAAACGCACGGCCGATACGAACTGAAACTTACGACGTGCAGCTTGCCACCAGCATTCCCAGTGCCTTCTTGGGGCCACCTTGAGCGCTCCTGGAGCTCCCTTGAAGCCTGAAGCCTCCTGGGGTCCTCTCAGAAACCCTCCAGGATCGGGCCGGGGAGGGCGCGGAGGGGGGGCTGGGGGCCACCACCGGGGGGGTGGTCATCGGGGTGCGGCCTCACCCCGGCCCGCCCAGGGCCTCGCCTCGGGGAGTGGTGCCGACTGCGCGATGGTCGACACGCTCGTCGGTTGGGGCCAAGGCCAAGGGGGGCAAGGGGCGAGGGCGACGGCCTGCGCGGCGAGTGCCGACGGGGCAGGGGGGTGGCGGTCAGGGGCCAGGGAAGCGGGGGCCAGGGCCGGGGAGGGGCAGGGCCAGGGGGAGGGCGGGGACCAACCGGCGACGGGCGAAAGTAAGGGGACCCGAGCTCCAGAACACAGCTGCGCAAGAGACCCAAGGGCCCAAAGCGCTCAGAACGGCTGCTCAAGAAGATCGGCCTGGCGGCGCGCAGAGGGGGGTAGGGGGAGGGGGGAAGGCATTTTAGAAGGATGCTGCTTCTTAGAAGGCACCGTCCTTACATCTTTAGACAAGGCCCGCGCCTTGTAAGAAGCAGTCACCGTGAAGCCTTCCCCCCTCCACATACCCCCCTCTGCGCGTGACTGGAAGGCGTGTGAGATGATTGGCGCGTGAGATGATGAGGCGGCGCGCCTGGAGGTAAGTGAAACGGGGCGGGCCTTCTCAGAAGGCTCGGGAATCCCCTGGCCTTCTGAGAAGTTTCCTAAGCCTTTCCGGAAGATACAGAAAAACTCTCAGAAGGCGCTAGGCGCTATGGCTTCTGAGAAGTCCCGCCGCCTTCTGAGAAGGCCTTCTCCTTCTCATTTCCCCCCTCCCGCTCGCCGCCGATTAGCAGAGCGTCATGCTCCTGAGTGTTCTTGGGTCTTTGCCAGGAGCTGGCTGCGTACGCCGCAGGAGCGGCCCGGGGCAGCCTGCCTCGGACGCCCCGGGCTGCGGATCACCTGGCGATGGCCTCCTTGCTCATCTTTCGCCGGCGAGCGAGGGGGGGAAACGAGGAGGAGGAGGAGGCCTTCTGAAATCCGATTAGGAGGGGGGGCTCTCCCCGGAGATCTGAAATCCGATTAGAGGAGGGGGGGGGGGAGGGCGCCCCGGGCCCGGGGGAGAGCCCCAAGCGCGGGGGTCTCGAGCTCATCGACGCTCCCCTGGAGCCCTCCCCCGGGGTCTCCAGAGCCTCCGTTTCTACACTCTGCGGCCTCCAAGATGCCTAAGAAGCGATCTACGCTTGCTCAGACAAGGTCCCAACACACACAGCCGTCCTCGAAAACGACTAACATAGCCTCGGACTGCCCAAGAGGCCTCAAATACGCCCCAAGAGGGCTCCAAGACGTCCCCCAAAAGGGCCCCAAGAATCAAGAATCGCCCATATCCCTTTAGAAAACGTGCAATTTGAACATGTTCGCATTTTTGATCTCAACAGTGTCCAAGACAGCTCAAGAGGCCCCCATGGTCGCTCCAAGACCGCCTAAGAAGCCCCCAAGAAAGCCCCAAGACGGCAGAAGTGGGTCCCAAGACGGCCCAAGAGGTGCCCAAGATGGCCCAAGAGCCCCAACAGGGCTCCAAGAGGGGCCCAAGAGAGGTAACCCGAACTGACAGTCCGAGCCCTCGACCCCAAGAGAAACACCGAGACCGCATGCAGGCGCCCAAAAAAGCTCCCAAGAGGCCCGAAGAGGCCCCCAAGAGACCCAAAAAAGGCCCCCAAAGGTTCCTCAGAAGCCCCAAACGGCCTCACCCGTTGATGTCATTCCTTCCTGGGGGTCGGCGGAATGGCGTAAGCCTCCTGGATAAACGGCTGACAGGGCTGGGAGAGAGAATTCGGGACCCAGGAGAAATCTGAATACGGTCGTGGGAGTGGATGGGACAAGGAACGGAGAAAGAGGGATGGAGTGGGACGCTCGAGGGATGGTTCTGGAACCGGGGGGGGGCATGGGACGAGCGGACGAGCCACGAACCACGTACCCTATCAAAAGACGTCGAACCACGACAAACCTAAAGGCTCCGAGCATGCAAACACAGCTGTGCAATAGGATCCTGCTCTCGCCTGCTCCAACTTTCCTAAGAGCATGGCGTCTGCACAAAGTTCCATCTCACAAGAAAAGCAGGAGTGTCCGTAGCCGAGCGCGGCAAGCCATCCCACATCCTTGCAGCCGGATGTTGAATGTCATATTTGGCCTATGCCTGACGTCTGGCTGCCACGCATCTGCGCCATAACCATAACACCTACACGCTATCCGTTCGCCAAGCTTACACGCACAACACCATGGCTGGCAGTGTGGAGAGACAGAGAGAGAGAGAGAGCGAGGGAGAGCAAGAGAGAGGGAGAGCGAGAGAGACAGAGCAGAGAGCAGAGAGAGAGAGAGAAAGAAAGGGGGAGGGATGGAGAGAGAGAGGGAGGAGGAAAGAGAGGTAGAGAGATCAGATCCCAATAGGCATCCGTGGTACTTGCTTCGACACACATAATGAAACACCTGCGCGGTTGCACGCACGTTCCGACCGTTGGCTCAAACAGAACAGGTTACGCATCCTGTTCCTCTTCATCCTCCTCTCACACTACGCCTGCTCACCCGCCGCCTCCTCCTCCGCCTCATATTCCTTCTCGACATCATGCTCGTGCCGTTCCTCCCCCTCGTCCTGATTGCGCTCCTCGTCCTGCTCCTCCTACTCCTCCGCATCCTCCTCACCATCATCACCATCAGCACAATCATCATCAGCAGCAACATCACCATCATCATCAAGGCCCCACTTCTCCTTATCCTCATCATCAGCATCATCATCATCAGCAGCGCCATCATCATCAGCAGCACCAGCAGCTGTCACATCAACATCATCATCAATATCATCATCAGCATGAACATCAACAACAACATCATCACCGTCATCAGCATGAACAACAGCAGCACCAACAACACCAACAACAACAATAGCAGCAACACCTACAACAACAACGATCAGGTTAAGACTGTTCGCTCTAATCTGCTCGCGTGCCATTCAACACGTAGATCCCCAACCCTCGATAACCGCCCTCTTCGTATTCGAGCATACCCCCATCAGGGGTATATCCTTTTTCGCTGTAACGTGTACTTCGTGTAGCCAAAAGGCAGGGAAAGAGAGAACGCATAGAAGGAAGGGAGAGCGGTGGAGGGAGGAGGATGGAACACGAGAGAGAGTAGCAGGAGGGGGCTATCAGTAGAAAACACGTGGCAGAACCAAACGGGCAAATCGGGCGGGCAGACCCTATCGGGCGGGTCCAGGCGGCGGCCCAGGCGGCCAGGTCGAGCAGGCGGCAGCAACAACAGCAGCGGAGCGCCGGTGGCACACCGGCGTGCTTGAACTCTCTCCGAGCCCTGGGTGAAAGCGTTGGCGCGCTAGGCGCGCCAACGCCTAGGCGCGCCAACGCCTCCCTGCAGTGGCCCTACAGGACCCCTCTTGTGACAATATAATCCCTGTAGTGGCCCTATGAGAGCCTATGACATTCCAGTAGTGGCACTACAGGAGCCTATGACATAACTGCAGTGGCCATGGGATCCCTCTTGTGACAGCATAATCCCTGTAGTGGCCCCATAGGAGCCTATGACACCCTTGCAGTGGCCCTATAGGAGCCTGTGACATCCATGCAGTGGCCCTACAGGATCCCTCCTGTGACCGTATAATCCCTGCAGTGGCCCTATAGGAGCCTATGACGTCCCTGCAGCGGCCCTACAAGATCCTTCTGTGACCGTACAATCCCTGTAGTAGCCCATAGGAGCCTATGACATCCCTGTGATGGCCCTACAGGATCCCAAAAGTGACCGAAAAGGGACCCCATCAAAGCGCCTGGGTGAGCCTATCGAGATCCGATAGGATCCCTATAGTGACCCTATAGGGACCCCATGGAGGTGCCTTGGGGTTCCTCGCAGATCCTATACGATCCTGATCGAGGCTTTAGAAGAACCTCCAGGACCTTCATGGAGATCCTGCAGAATCCTTGTGGAAACCATATGGAGGCCCCAAGCTTGTGCGAACCCTTCTGGAGCCGCCATTCTTCCTGGTTCAAACCCTACTTTGGGGACCCTCAGACTTGTCCGTTTTTCATCGGACCCGTGTAAACCCCAAAACAAGCCTCCAAGGTCCTTGTAAGATCAGGGGCCCTGTCGGATCCCTAGGTCCCTGTAGAATCCATGGAAATCCCTGAGGAGTCCACCGGGCATGTTCCAGAATCCTTAAGACACCCTTTTTGCTGATCCTCAGGAACTCGAAAGGAATCACCTGGAACCCCTTGGGAATCCTCAGGAACCGCACAGGGAATCATTTGGAAACTGAGGAGAATCCCCACGAAACCCTCAGGAGCGGTAGTCGTGAGGACCCCGAGCGACCCTCGAGGTCCCAGAAAGAAACCTCGGAACCCCCGAAGAGGACCCTGAGAAATCCTGAGGAATCACCCAGGAATATTCGAGTATCCCTCGGAACCCCATGGAATTCTGAAGCATCCCGAATGAATCCTCAGAAATCCGTTCGGGAATGCTCAGGCTGCTGGGTTGCTGTGTTGCTGATGGGGAGGCGGCCCTCAAACCCGCCTTGTCCAACAACAACAACAACAACAACAACAACAACAACAACAACAACAACAACAACAACAGCAACAGCAACAGCAACAGCAACAGCAACAGCAACAGCAACAGCAACAACAACAACAACAACTGCAACTGCAACTGCAACTGCAACTGCAACTGCAACTGCAACTGCAGCACTAACAACAACTGCAACTGCAACTGCAACTGCAACTGCAACTGCAACTGCAACAACAACAACAACAACAACAACAACAACAACAACAACAACAACAACAATCAGTTTACCCTCATGCGCGATGCTTCCACACGAAGGAGGCGACCATCATGATAACCATCCCCATCATGAGGGACTATTGTTCTATAGCGGGGTCCATTATTCCCATTCTCAGATCTCCCGCCCAATGAAGTCTTGAAAACACCTCCTTCGAGGATGTTCGACATATCCCGCCTCGAAAACGCATGCCCGCGCCTGGCTGCGCCGATGCGAGACCGCCAGTGGGGCCCCAGCCAAAGGTAAAGCACAAGGAAGCATCGAGCGACAGGAATGTCTTGGTGGGGATGGGGGTCGTCGGCGGCGAGGCAAGGACCTGGCCCTGAATAGAAAGGCAGGAAGTCTCGAGCAGGGCCGCTGTTATTGCTGGGAGCGGCGCCAATGCCGAAGAGAGCAGGGCGCTAGTCCAGCGTAAAACAAAACGAAATCTCGAGCGGGAACACTGTTCTGTTGGGACGGCGGTTGTCGGCGGCGAGGAAGAACACCGTCTTGAGCAAGAAGGGAGGAAGTCTCGAGCGGGAGCCATGGTTTTGTCGGGACGGGCGCTGTCGGCGGCGAGGAGCAGCACCGTCCTGAGGAAAAAGGGAAGAAGTCTCGAGCGGGAACGTTGTTCTTGCTGGAAGCGGCGCCAATTCAAAAGAGAGTAGGGCGCCAGTCCAGCGTAAAACGGGAAGAAGTCTCGGGCGGGAGCGCTGGTTTTGTCGGGACGAGCGCTGTCGGCGGCGAGGAGGAGCACCGCCTTGAGTAAAAAAGGGAGGACGTCTCGAGCGGGAGCGTTGTTCTTGCTGGGGGCGGCGCCGATGAGAGAACGAGTAGCGCGCCAGTCCAAGGTAAAACGGGAGGAGGTCTCGAGCGGTAGCGCTGGCTTTCGGCGGCGAGCAAGAGCACCGGCCCTGGGAAAAGAAGGAGGACGTCTCGGGCGGGAGCGTTGTTGTTGTTGGGGGGCTGGTTTGGGCGCCCCCCCAAACCGTTCGAGCGTGAGCCTCATTTTCAATGACAACGTAGCCGGCGCCAAGGCGAGAGCGCCACAGCGCCGGGGGGGGGTCCAACAGTAAGAATTGCATAGTAAATAACATTCAACAACAGCGTAGCAACCCTCCCCCTGGCCCCAGCCTGGGGCCAGGAGCGCGGTGTCTCTCCCGGCCCTGGGCGACAGCGTTGGCGCGCCAGGTGTGCCAACGCCTATCCCCGCCCCGGGCCTCTTCCAGCAAAGCGAGCGCGCACACCGGTGTAGCAACGCTCCTCCCGGCCCCGTCACGTTCTGAAAACCCTCAGGATGGCACGCCAGGGGTGCCAGAGCCCCTCCCTCCCCCGTCCCTGATTGTTGCGCGGATCGTTTTGTCCTTGGGTTGCCGAAGAAGCCCTCGGGGATCCTCAAGAAACCCGATCCTCAGGAAACCCTGAGGGATCCTCAGGAAATCGAGCGGGATCCCCGGGAAATCCTAAGGGATCCTCGGGAGACCCTAGGGGATCCTCGGGAAACCCTAGTCTTCTCAATCCGTGGGAATCCCGATATGAGTCTTCGAAGGGACGCCGCAGGAACTCTTATGAACACTCAGGGGGCCTTCGTGGTCCCAGGACACCATGCGGAAGCCTCAAGAATCCTTCGGAATCCTCTGGTCTCACTGGGATTCCAGGAGGGGAGCAATCCTGCAGTATCCTTGAAACCATCGGAAGCTTCACGAGCCCTCAGGAACCCTCAAGAAGCAGCATGTAGCCTTAGGACTCCTCAGGGACCCTTAGGAACCGTCAGGAATGCCCAAGGGTCCTTAGAGGACCTTGCTGTGATAATCCTCTGGAAGCCTTGGGGGTCCGTCGAAATACCTCGGGGTGCGTCGAGATCTGTAGGAACCGTGAGGGGAACGTAGGGATCGTGCCTCATCCGTCCGAATCAATAAAAGGGAATCCGTAAGAACACAGAGGAAGCCTCAAGAATCCTTCGGAATCCATGGGAACACTTGGGATTATTCGGAATCTGTCAGAATCCATCAGAATCAACAAGGTCCCGCAAGAGCCCTCAGGGATCCTGCGGAATGCTTCGGGATCCTGAGGGGTCCTTCGGAATACGCCGGAACCCTGCGGAATTCTCAAGGATCCTTCTGAAACCCAGGAATCAATAATAATCCTGGGGAGTCTTCGGGCAACCTGAGGAAACATATGGCATCATTGGGACACTTCGGAATTTCAAAATATCGCAAAGTATCTCAGAAATCTGGTAGGATCTGTGGGAAACAGAAACAGAACGTCCGATCGAGCGTCCTAAGACGTCTCGTCCCGCTTGCTGGAACGGCGTGAATCATGAGAAGTGCGGAAAAACAT